AACACTCAAGTACTGATTGAATGACTAATTGAATGGGCAGCGAACTCTGGATAGTGAAGTGAAATGGGTCATTCTTTTCCTATTTACCTTTCAGCCTGGAAACCACCACCCGTGGGAGGTAGATTTGGTGAAGCACACTGTCCAAAGGAAGGGTCTGGGAGCAGTTGAGGGTTTGAAGGAACCATCCTGGGGAGAGAGCCCTTAGTCACAGGGATGACTGTCCACACAATAAATAGAAAGCCAGTTAGGGGCAGGAACCAGGGTGGGAATCCCACCCCCGCCTCCCACCCCCTCCATCACTGTCTTTTCTGGGGTCACCCCTGTTGTTGCCCATAGTCCTGGAGCATCTGTGTTTTCTTCACTCTCCGGTGCTGTGTCCTGTCTGGACCCCTCAGGGTTTGGGATGACTCCCAGGTGAAGGGCTCCAGTTCACTCTGATTTTAACTTTTTATAAGCTGTCATTAAGCTTCACCATGTTGCTTTGCTTCTGGGAAGCGTTTAGTCATTTCCTAATTTAATGATAGATGTCCTTAGCCCTAGAAATTTATAATGAAACATTTCCAATTAGAATTCATTGGGATTAATGCAAAATAGGAGTTAGAACATTTTGCAATAGTATTTATTTAGTGTTCTCCAATAGATCCAGTCAGACAGAGGACTATGGGGGAGGGAGCCTTTATGCCTCCGGCGCCCTTGGGGGGGAAAGTTGTGAGCAGCATACTGGTTTGGGGCTTGGCTTGTGAGCAGGCTCCATGGAAGGTGGATACAGTATCTTTTCATGTTGATCTTTCCGGCCAAGTTAGGACTGGCTCTTCCTAGATAATACACTGCTCAATTTCTAGTTTATCTCCTCCGACTCCCTGTATGTTCTATGACGGTTTCAGTGTAGCCAGGTTTATTTCTATCTGATTTTGTTTTTTGTTCTCAGGAAGATTATTATTATTATCCCGTTGAGAATATGTCTGAAGACCAGAAGTTTTTAGGGGTGATGAGTGGTCTTTGAATTAGAATTATATATAAAATGTTTCTGTGCATGTGCAGTTTTCTGGAGCCTTAGCTTTGATCAGAGTCTGGGAATCTGCAGTCCCCCAAAATGATTGTTTTATTTTTAGTTTTTAAAAAGATTTTAGGGGCGCCCGGGGCGGCTCAATCTGTTGAGCATCTGCCTTCAGCTCAGGTCATGATCCCTGGGTCCTGGGATCGAGCCCCACATCGGGCTCCCTGCTCAGTGGGGAGCCTGTTTCTCCCTTTCCTGCTTCCCCTGCTGTGCTCTCTCGCTCTCTGTCAAATAAAATCTTTTAAAAATTCTTAAAAAAATAAAAATAAAAAGATTTTTTTTTTTTTTTTAAGTAATCTCTACACCCAATGTGGGGCTCTAATCCACAACCCTGGGATTAAGAGTTGCATGCTCCACCAACTGAGCCAGCCAGGTGCCCCCAAAATGAGTGTTTTGTTTGTTTGTTTGTTTATTTTAGAAAGAGTGAGAGCATGGGTGAGCAGGGGGAGGGAGAGAGAGAATCCCAAGTAGACTCCCCACTGACATGGAGCCCAATGTGAGGCTCAATCTCAGGACCTTGAGATGATGACCTGAAACCAAGAGTCGGATGCTTCACTGACTGAGCCCCCCAAAATTGGTGTTTTAAACCAGGGTTTTTGGACTTGACTCTGGCATTTGGGGCCAGGTTGTTGGGGTCTGTTGTTTGCCTTGTAGAATGTTTAGAAGCATCGCTGGTCCCTGCCCATTAGATGCCAGTAGCTCTTCCTCCCCCAGTGAGGACAACCAAAAAATATCTCCATACATTGCCAAATGTCTCCTGGGGGTTTGTGGGGAAGGCAGAATCAACCCCAGTTGAGAAACACTAGTATGCACCCTTTTTTCAATAGACATGATTTTTTAGTTTTTGGTTCATGGGAAAATTGAGCAGAAGGTACAGAGTACCCATATATTCCCTGCCTCCACACATGCATGGCCTTCCCACTACAAAACAGCCTTCCCCACCAGAGTTACAGCTGCGGAACCTACAGTGACACATCATACTCACTCACTCCTTAGTCTCCACTGGGATTCACTCTTGGTGTTGTGCAGACTGTGGGTTTGGACAGATTGGTAATGATGCATATCCACCGTGAGAGTAGCATGCAGAGTAGCTTCACTGTCCTAAAACTCCTCCTCCCCTTCAGTCCCTGGCGACCACTGATCTTTTGACTGTCTCCATAGTTTTGCCTTTTCCAGAATGTCACATAGTTGGAATCATACGGTATGTAGCCTCTTCAGACTGGCTTCTTTCACTTAGTCATACACATTTAAGTTTCCTCCATGTCTTTTCATGCTTGATAGCTTATTTCTTTTTAGCGCTGAATAATATTCCAGTGTCTTGGTGGACTACACATTGTTTATCCATTTACCTGCCAAAGGACATCTTGGTTGCTTCCAAGTTTTGGCAGTTGTGAGTAAAGCTGTTATAAACATTTGTGTGCCAGTTTTTGTATGGAAATAAGTTTTCAGCTCCTTTGGGTAAATACCAAGGAGTGCAGTTGCTGGATCGTATGGTGAGACTATGTTTAGTTTTGTAAGAAACTGCCACACTGTCTTCGAAGTTGGTTGCATACCATTTTGCGTTCCCACCAACAGTGAGTCAGAGTTCCTGTTGCTCCACATCCTTGTCAGCAATCAGAGTCCTGGATTTTGGCCATTCTAATAGGTATATAATGGGATTTCATTATTGCTTTAATTTGCATTTCCCTGGTAACAAATGATGTGGAGCATCTTTTCATACTATTTGCCATCTGTAAGTCTTCTTTAGGGAGGTGTATGCTTAGGTTTTTGGCTCATTAGTTTACATCTTTTAACTAGTTTGGAATCATTTAGGGTGTTCTCTTCTGGCACGGTCGTGGGGGTAGGGGTGGGGATACACAGCTGTTTATGGAGTTTGAGCACAGAGCTCCAGTTTATAGCAACAGGAAAGATTTCAGGGTTGGGTTGAGTGGGGCAAATGTAAAATATATATATATTTTTTAAATGTTTTTAAAATATTTAAAACATGTATTTATACACATACACAGAAAATAGTCCCAAGCACATACTGCTGTATATTAAGAATGTCACAGATATTGAGTCATTGCAACAACCCTATGACTGTCCCCATTTTATGGATACATAGAGGCTTGGAGAGGTTAAGAAATTTGCCCAAGGTTATAGTTAATGAATGGCAGGACTGGAAATCGAATATAAGTCTCTTTAGTGGCAACTCAGTTTGTCTGTGTTCTCAACCCTTGAAGTGGTGTGAGAATGTCTTCCCATGCCAGCAGGCCAGACCCGTGTCACCGTGGCATTGGCCAGCATAGAAAACATGGCACCAGTAGGGAATTCATGGTTGCTAGAATGTTTCACCAAACAGAACAAGTGCTACACCATTTCTGGGGTGAGTGAGTGTGTGTGTGTCTTTGTAGGGTAGTAGCCACTTTGTTGTGTATCCCAGAATAAATTGTCCCTGATAACCACCTTCAACAGGGGCAGGTTTGTTGTTTCTTTTTAAAAAACAGCCTGCTCTTTATGTCCAGTCAGTTACATGGGAATGAAATAGCCTCCAGTTAACTTGATGTGTTAGTTGTTTGGTGAAATAGAGTGGGTCCTTGTCCCATAGCCTGTTTGTGGTTAATACCCCTGGAGTGTAGATGGTCATATTCAAAGGTTCTTTTTCATTAGTCGATTATGACATTTCCAGGATTACTTTATGTATTTTATGAAGATTCTTTAGTGTGTTGATTTCGGTCTTTCAAAAATTCGAGATTGGTCTGGGCATATGAGAACGGTGCCTCTGATGGGCTGTGTCGGCTGCCTCAGCTATACTTCTCGGGGCGGGGGGTGTGTGCCGTGGTCTTCTCTACTCTGCCGCGGCCACCTTACTCGCCTTTCTAGTCCTACCTCCTGAGGCCTAGCCTTTTGTGTTGCAGCCCGCTGGGTACTGAATTTACTCTCACTTTACCCCCACTCCGTTCCTTCCTCCTCCTCCCGCCTCCATTATTGATCACATGTTGATGATGACTGGCGTGTGGTGGCTCTGAGTAAATATTTGCAGCCTGAATGTCCAGTGAGACGAGTCCTGGGAGCACACAGTGTGGTCTTTATCCTCCTGGGCCCCTGCAGCAGCAGTGACCCCAGTTTGCTGCACTTGTCTGCTCTGCAGCTGGAGCCACCTCTTCACCGGAGATGCTCCGGGTCTCGGTTGCCTTTGCAAGGGACTCTCACCTGGGGATACGTCCCAGGCTTCAGTTGAATGACAAGGACTTTAACCTTAGTGCACATCTTGCCACTTGTTCTTTGCCTGGCTTTGTCCCTGGCCTGGAGCTCATCAAGGAACGTGGCTCGAATGTCCAGGACAAAGCCTAACTTGGCTCGAATGTCCAGGAGAAAGCCTAACTTGCTGCTCGAGCATGCTCCCTTGCAGGGCCGATCAGGAGGTAACACATTTGCATCTCCCGTGGTCCGTTGAATTGGAAAAGGAAAGCCGAGGGGGCTTTGAGGTGTGGTTGGAACTCCGGCCCACTTGCCACTTGGAGTATCTTCCACACATCTCCACATGAGATAGATGGTACTGTCACAGAGCCCATCCCCCCACTCTCCAGGAGAGGTGTTGGAGGGCCCACTGCGCCCTGCTTGGTGTTAGAATATCCGGGGGGGTGGGGGGGAGAATACCCTGGGCAAGCTGAAACTGCAGGGACGCTTCCCCCCTCCCCCCCCAATTTTATTTATTTATTTGAGAGGGAGTGAGCACAAGCTGGGGGGTGGGGGAGGACAAAGGGGGCGGGAGAAGCAGGCTCCCTGCTGAGCAGGGGGCCCTTGACAAGGGGCTCGATCCTAGGACCCTGAGATCATGACCTGAGCCCAAGGCAGATGCTTAACTGACTGAGCCACCCAGGTGCCCCAAGGATGCCTTTTAAAAAGGTTTCAGTGTTTCTGTTGGCAAAATGGCCCAGAACTTCTGTTTCTCTTTTCACAGAGTGACCAGCAGCTGGACTGTGCCTTGGACTTGATGAGGCGCCTGCCTCCACAGCAAATCGAGAAGAACCTCAGCGACCTGATCGACCTGGTACGAGCTTTGTTCATATGGTTTCCTTTGGGCTGTGGCTCATAATTGATTGACTCTGTGTGCCTTTTTCCATGCGGTGTTCCAAACCCAGAAGAAACCTTCCACCACCGCCACCGCCACCACCGAGTTCTGAGAGTCCTCCTTTCTGTTGTCTCTCAGAGCCAGCTGGGTTAAGAAAGCCCAAGATAGGAGCTCGGAAGTTGATCTGTGTCCCCTTGCCCCAGCTGCATGTTTTCAAGTCTCCAGAAGCTTGCATTTCAGCGTGGGGAGGAAGAGGCCACACACACCCAGTGGGCATTCAGCAGTGCCTGGTGCCAGGCTTCCTTTGTTTCTTTGCTGTTGTGGAAGTCCCTCCAGCCAAGATAGTACAAAATTTACCCTATAAAATAGTTCACGGGGCTTCACTTCCACTTTGACCAGTACAAAACACAAAAGTCAGCTGTCAAAGAGCTCATCACATCTATTTTTTAAATCTCTCTCTATATATTTTTAAAGATTTTATTTATTTGAGAGAGAGAGAATGAGAGATAGAGAGCACGAGAGGGGGGAGGGTCAGAGGAAGAAGCAGACTCCCTGCTGAGCAGGGAGCCCGATGTGGGACTCGATCCCGGAACTCCAGGATCATGACCTGAGCCGAAGGCAGTTGCTTAACCAACTGAGCCACCCAGGCGTCCCTATATATTTTTTTTTTTTTAAGATTTTATTTATTTATTTGACAGAGAGACACAGCGAGAGAGGGAACACAAGCAGGGGGAGTGGGAGAGGGAGAAGCAGACTTCCCGCAGAGCAGGGAGCCCGATGCGGGGCTCGATCCCAGGACCCCGGGATCATGACCTGAGCCGAAGGCAGACGCTTAACGACTGAGCCACCCAGGCGCCCCTAAATCTATATTTTTTTAAAATTCAGAATAATTGGTCTCAAAAGGATGCCTCAGATTAACTGGCACCGTAATATTATTTGAAATGCCTCAAAATATTTAAGTAAAATCCATAAAGCTATGGAAAATATTGAAAAGAAGTAAGATAAACTAAAATCAGGCCCCAAGAGGCCAACTGAGGTACTAGCTTATTTGGCCAGTGCGTTCCGGCTCTGGTGCCCAGTCAGTCCTCTGTTGTGTTTGCTGCACCCGTCTCCTGGGAGGTGATGATGCGCGGCCAGCCATGGCTCGGTGATGAGGTGTCTTTTGCAGAATGGTTTGAAAACGTGTCCGTATGCCATAGTGACGCTTCATTCCACCGTCTGACTTGAGAGCGATGGTACTAGGAGAAGCATTCTTGCAGGAGACTCGCATCATTCAGAGAGAGGACTTCGCAGCTGTCCACGGCCTGTCGTCACAACCGCGCGCGTCCTTACAGGCACCGCCGGACGGGGTGGGGGTGAACGCGCCAGCCTGTGCTGGTGACACCCCCGCAAGTGAGGAGGGGCAGGTTTCTTGAGGTCAGTGGCCCTGATGAGAAAGGCAGCCACAGGCCCTTGTGATGAGAGGAAGGTAGACTTAAAGGCGTGATGGGTCCCGGCTGACATGACGTGTGAGGTGAGTGTGAAAGGAGAGAGCGTAGCCTGTCTTGTGTGCAGAATGGGGTGAGAACCAGAGTCCGGGAGGCGCCGTCAGCCCCGGCGGCAGACTGAGTGCCGGCGAGGGCTGTGATGGCAGGCCCCGTCTGGAAGGGCAATGGCCCCTTTGCTCCAGCTGCCCGCCGTTGCCCTGTGGGAGGACGATCCTCTGTGACTTGTTTTCCGACTTTTCTGGAGAAGCCGTACTTTGGGAGTTTGAGTGAGACCTCCTGGTTTTTCAGCATCGGCCCAAACATGGGATTGGTTAGATCTGGTTTTGTATAGCATGTGAGTTGGGGGATGGGGCGGGTTAGGTGGGGGGTGTTGAGCGAAAGCAGTCTTCGCTGGGAAATCCTTTTTTTTTTTTTTTTAAAGATTTTATTTATTTATTTGACGGAGAGAGACACAGCGAGAGCAGGAACACAAGCAGGGGGAGTGGGAGAGGGAGAAGCAGGCTTCCCGCCGAGCAGGGAGCCTGATGTGGGACTCGATCCCAGGACCCCGAGATCATGACCTGAGCCAAAGGCAGACGCTTAACGACTGAGCCACCCAGGCGCCCTTCGTTGGGAAATCCTGACGTACACAGTTTGGACAGTCGCAAGGGGTCCTTGCAGGTCAGAGGGAGGGCTTGAACTTGGGGCTTGTCACGTGGTTATTGTCACCGTCCCCCACTCGCTGAGCCTGGTGCTCACTGCACCGTGCCCCGCAGTTTGCTTGCTTGGCCTGATATGACTCCCAGCCCTACAGGGCAGCGGCCTGGGGAGTGCTGTATTGCTTCACGTTTCTCTTGGTCAGAGATTTTTGCTTGATCGTATGTGGCAGAGATGGGCGAAGGCTGATGGTGGGATCCGATCCCTAATTGGGTCAGCGGCAGAGGCTTCTTTGTCTTTAAACTCAGCATGAAAGCATGCTTGGCTGAGTTTAAACCTAGTGTGCCAATTTAGCTATTACTGTATTTTGGAAATCAACCAAACAGAGAAGAAATGATGGGTGAATTTTTCTCAGGAGACCCTTCTTTGGTGTTCAACAGGCTGTTTTGTTCTTATGGCAATGGAAGTGTGTTTTCTCTGCGATCCCCCTGGTTAGTCTTTATCTCGGAGATGGGCACAGAGCTGCTTTTATGGGAACCCGGTCAGCTACTGCCTCTGCTGGGTCTGGCACAGGTACTTGGGCCCGGCCGGAAAGCCGCAGCACTGATGGTGAGTGAAGGAGAACCTTGGGAGCTGTCTCTCACCTCAGCCACACACCGGGTGCTCCCCCAGGTCAGCCCTGGCATGCGGTTTGCAGAGGCTCCTTGGGCCCCGCTCGAAGTACCACACTGTTCCTTTCGCTGAGGGGGGACGTGCTGTGTGACCTCCCACAGGTTACTGTCAATGCACTGCCTTTTCCCTTGCAACTTTGTCTTCTGCAGAACGTGGCTAGAGAGGGGGATGGAGGCAGACCTAGGTTGCGGGTTTGACAGCCGACAGATGCCAACACCTGCCGTGTGCCTAGGACTGAGCTGGACGCGGTGGTTTGTGTTAGTGCTTCAGCGGGTTTTCACAGTCCCCCTTGAATGTACCTAGGACCACTTCACCTCTTTTGTATGATTGAGACTCTCAGGAAGAAGCCAGGCAGCCCCAGGAGTCCCAGTTCCTTCTGCAGGGGTAACTCTGCTGGGCCCCTTTGCGTGACTCGCTCACACCCAGAACAACAGATTAAATGTGGTATGTCTTCCTGATGTGTCCGTCTGAACTGTTAGGGGGCAAAGTGTTAAATAATTCATTAGTAATCTGAAATATTAAAACATCTGCTTTATGGAGAATAATTTAGAGTTCCTGTAATTAAAAACAACAGCAGCAGTTCTAGAGACCTGAAAGACAGCCCCTCCTCAGAGCCGGACCACGTGGGATTAGCAGTTCACTTTTGTCCATCGCTCCATCGGGGGGCTGGAGAGGCGCCCACTGCCCCTCGCCAGGTTGTGTGGAGGCCAGCCTTGGGCCCCTTCTACCTTCTGAGGCTGAACAGGAGGCCATAGTAGATTACCGTCCTCCAGAATGGGCTGGGGAATCGGTGTTCTCATTAATATTTTAATTTGAAGTATGATGAATGTCAGAATGGAAATGGAGCATGGCTCTTCCCCGAATTAGGATCTGGTAAAGCACACCTCGTTAAAACTCTACTGACATGCTTCAAAAGCCACTTTTTGATTAAAGGCCTTGCTTCAAGGTCCCTGCTCTGCACCATAGTGTATGAGGGGCATTTGGGCTGGTTTTGTACAAGGTCCTATGACCAGTCCTAGAAGTTACTTCTTTGAATGTTTTCCTTTCGTTGCTGCTGTTTTTCTTCTCTTTACCCTGGGAATGACGGGGGTTTTTTGTTTTGTTTTTAACTGGGTCTGCAGAATTCCGTCGTTCCTTTCAGAGTTGGTCCATGCTGAGTGTACTCCTGTGTCTCTGAAGTTCACTTGCAGTTTTATTTCTTCCCAGAGCTGTGATTGCAGAAAACTCACACCATTCTGGGTCCATCTAGGAGCAGTGGGTCCAGGCCTTTGTTTCACGTAATCTGGGATCAGTCGGATGTTTTCAGAGCAGCGAATGCACTGCTCGGTACAAATTGGAGTCATTCCTCCCATGCTCACCTGCCTAAAATTATGAAGGGGAGGTAGTTGTTTTCAAGAAAACTCTCCAATTTTAAGACTGACAAGAATGTTAGGATTTGCCAGCATTCTCCGTGAAGGGAATGGCCACACTTAGATGTTGGAGCCAGAGAACCATAGGGGAATTTATCCGGTCCACCAGCGGTCCAGTTACAGAGTCGTAGGAAAGAGAAATGCGGCGTATGCTTAGCAGCCAGGCCAAGGCAGCCCAATTTATCATGCCAGATGAGCTTTCCTTCTCTCTTTTCTTTCCAGCATCAGAGCTTTTGCTGCCTTGGGATTATGGTGCATGCTGGGATTGGTGGGAAATGACCTTCCTTTGCAGATGGCCAGAACATCATTTTATTACATATTAATCCCATTGTACTACAGTGAAGCCAGCTGAAATCTGTTAAGCCATTTCAAAAATACCCACTTGTCCATGTGGGCCAAGAATCATATGATGTTTAGATGCTCCCTTGGCTTCCTACACTTTGACCTTCTATGGCTTTACTCTGCACACTGGCAGTAATAGCCAAAACTTGGCTGGGCTGTATTTTGAGGCCTGAGCTGAGGAAGGAGTTTGTTTCTGCAAATTGGCATCCAGCAGGCCATCCGTCCTTTGCCCTTTTTAAGAGCAGACCAAAAATAGCCCTAAATCTGTTTAACCAGTCAGGAGAGTCTTTGCCTGCAAATGTTAGTTGTTTCATTTTTAATTCGTTCTCTCTGCTGTAGCCACCCAAAGGTCCAGCTCGTGGGTGTCCCCAGACCTTACTCAAGTGTGGGAGAGGGCATCAGCTGGGAAAGCCCCTGAACCATCCTGGCCAGG